GGGAAGCCTGCTTCTCCCTCTCCCGCTCCCCCTGCTTGTGTTCCCTCTCTCGCTGTGTCTCTCTCTGTCAAATAAATAAAATCTTTAAAAAATAATAATAATAATAATAATCCCTTTCCTATATGGAAAAGCAACTGAAAGTACCCAGAAAGCAAGGACAAATGTTTCCTCGTCAGTTCCCTGTTTCTGATGCACATCAACATAAGCTGTGAAACACATGGGAAAAAAGTCAAAGTTGGCAATACCTCTGTCTGAATTCCTGGAAAACTATCCGGTTGGGGAAGCCCTGGCGACAGATCCGGATGCCTTCCAGGACGCCGTTACAGCGAAGCTGGTCTAGCACCAGGTGCGGGTCCAGTTTTCCAGCCTAATCAAGCAAACGACAGTTTTACACTTCAGTCTTCGCGACCTGACCCGGATCCGCTCTGAACAGCGGCGTACGTTGTGCGGGACACGTACCCGCTTCTCGTGATTTGGAATGATGCAGCGAACGAAGTTAGGGTTGGTGTTCCGGAGGGTCGCCATCAGCTTGGTGAGAGACTCTTTGTAGAGCTGCCCGACGGTCCGGAACATGCCCTTCTTGGTTTTATACGCAGAGCCAAAGGCGGTCTCCGTCATGCCCGTCACCTGATCCAGACCCACGATACGGTCCACTGGTGGAAATAAAAAAGGAGAGGGAAATAAGCCCCCTGGAGCTCTCCCGCGGGGGCAGGAAAGACACAGTGATGGTGCAGCAGGCCAAGCTTTGTGGCACGGATGACAGGAGATGCCATAGAGAGGTAAGGCAGTCAGCGTGTTTGGACACCGCACAAGCCGTGGAACCAACAGCCACACACCCCCATGGCAGGCTCCCGGGTGCGGACAGCTCCATACCACATACCAGCAGATGCCTTCGCCTACGCTCGGGGACACACTGCGTCTAGTAGCACTTGGCCTGCGTCACGTGCCAGCACGTGGAGAATGCGGGATCGCCACCAGCATGACCGGTGCACGACCGGACACGGTGACAAGTCTCAGGGTAGGAAGCGGCTTACGAACAGACACGCGTGCACCAAGCACATCCCCTTAGGGAATATGCTGGGGGGCGGGGGACGGGACCAGAGGCCTCTCTTCTTCGTCATCAGTCATTCCCGTCTCAGGAACGGAGGCAGGAAGACGGGAGCAGGGACGGGCAAGCGCCAGGTCCGTCCTCCAAGCAGGGGCGGTGCTCCCTGCGGGATGAGCGCGCAGCGCGGGAAGGGGCCTCCCGAGTCCGGGTCTTGGCTGCGTGCGGCGGTGGCGAGACCGCGCGGACGCCTCGCTCTGGTGGCAGCAGCGGACCCGACCCTGCCGAGCGGGACCGCGCGTGGCCCCCAGCGGAGCATCCTGCGCGGAACGTGCCCTCGCTTAGAACAGTCGTGAAATATTTGCAAAGCACCCCGAGCATCCGCTGAACTCTCCCGGCTGATGCCCCCCCGGTCGGTCCTGACAGCCACCCCCATGTCTGTGGTTTGTCCCCCCGACGGGCAGCGTGTGGGGACCCGGCCCTGGCGGGGAAGCGCTTTACGAGCAAGACGTTGCTCACGTCTCCATTTCCAGCGAGGCTCTTAGGGAGCAGGGAACCACGACCCCGGAGTGAGGTCGCTGTCGCCATCGTGCAGGCCTTAAATGGAAGTTGGGGAAGGGTCGACGGGATGGGCTTCATTCTCCGGGCCCGTGCACGCACCCCGTCCTACAACGTCTGCGAGGCAGAGCCCCCAGACTCAAAGGGTGGGGTCAAGGCCCCTCCTGCCTGTGTCCCCAAGACGGCCCGCCATCCACCTCCGAGGCCGCCCTCTGCCATTCTTTCCTGCACCTCCAACCTGTCCCTCCTCACGGGTTCCGGCAGAAGACCGCGCCCAGCCCCGCCCCTGCACGCGCCACCAGACCCTGAACGTCCCTTGACCCTGCGTCCACCCACTTCTCTGTCTCCTCAGCGCCGAGCTTCTTTCGGGAACCGTTCGCACGCTCGGCACTGCTCACGCCTTGCATGAGTTCCCACTCCCCGGGCAGCTGCCTGGCTTCCAGTCTGCCCTCCGCCCCCTGCCCGGGGCCGCTCTGGCAAGGACAGGTCGGTCGCTAGCAGCGGACACCGTCCGGTGTCCACCTGACCCTGGTGCGTCTGTGGGCCATCCCGACGGCGTTCTAGGAACTCCCTCCAGCCCCACCTTCTGCTCCGGACCCCCACCCAGCTCTATGGCCACTCTGGTCTCCCTGGTGACTTCTTTTCCTGAGCATCATGGCCTTCACTGGGGGTCCAAACTCCACTCAGCCCCGAAACCCAAGGAGAGGCACACGCTACTTGACCTGCTTGTCTCAAGGCACATTCTCGTCCTGGGGGCTCTCGTTTGCGGCTTGAACTGGCTCCACCTGACGACCCAGCACCAGTCACCAGACACTGGTTTCTCCTGCCTGCTCAGGAGTCACAAAGGCGCCTCTGCCTTCCACAAATTCTTGTGACGTGCCCGGCGTGACGTCTGGCGTCTGGCCCATCACAGGCTGGACGCGTATGTTAGGGAATAAACACAGCAAACATCGAATACGTCTACAATTCCCGACAGCGAGAAAAGCCCTGGAAGAAAGGATGCTACGGAAGAGACAGGGGGTCGGAGATCCCTCTGGAGAAATTTCTCTTTACTGCCCAACGGGTAAGCACGAGCCCGTGGAGAGCAGACCGTTCCAGGCGGCGGGAACAGCACGGAAGGACCAGGGGCAGGAGAAGTGACAGCAGCCCATGCCAAGGACGCACGACACGCACGGAGATTTGGGGCGTCCACGCCGGCTGCGGCGCCCAGAACCGGCTGGGGAGGGGTCACCGGAGAGGGAACGGCTGGGCCAGTCCAGGCTCCGAGCGAGATGAGGGGAGTGGAACCCGTGATCGCAGGGGACAGGGGGAGAGGAGGAGGATACGACACATCTTTTGGTGGGAGGACGACTTGCTCTGATGATTAAGCTGATGTCGAAACTACGACAGACGTGTCAAGAGTAAGTCCTAGGACTTTGGCTGGGGGTGTCACTGCAAGATGGGGGAGAAGTGCTCTTTGTGCCCCAAATCCTCTAGGTTCGGGGCACGTGAGGCACCAGAACATTCCGGCCTGCTGCTAAGAAGAAAGGCCTGCACTAGGAAGGCAGATGTGGGAGCTGTCGACTCGGGGAGTAGTCACGGGACCGATGGGCCAGCTCAGGGGGACCAAGCTGGGGAGAGAGGAGGAGCCAGACGGGAGGAGCGGGGAGCAGCAGCCAGAAGCAGGAGGGGCAGGTCAAAATCCTACAGAGCACGTTCTCTGCCGCACCGTCCACCCTGGTCCTCCTCGTGGGCCTCCCACGCAGAGGGACCCCCGGGACGGAGGCCAGAGACCAGGCGTCCCCTCGACTGCCCTTATACCAGCCACTCGCCAAAACTGGCCAAGCCAAACCTCGAAATGTCTTCCATCTGTCCCTCCGTTCCACGGCCTTCGTTTGGGCTCTCACTGCTCCCCCGGATTCCTCCCTGCAGTACCCTCCTGCCTGTTCCTTCCTCCTCTCCCCGAGCCACCACGCTGGTCTTTCCATGGAGGCCTCTGGTCCCAGGGTCGTGATTCACAGGTCTTTCTAAAAAGACCTAACTGAGCAAGTTCTTTATTGCTGTACTTCAAACCCTTCCGTTTCTCCTGCAGCTTGTAGGGTACGGTCTGAATCCCCGAGCCCAGGAGTGTAGCCAGTGATGCAGAACTCGGTCCTGAGCCAGAAACACCTGCCCCTCACGAGCTCTGTGATCTGGAGTCAGCTCACCCGGCTCCTGCAAGTCTCAGTCGCTTCCTCGGTCAACGGAGCTACCGTGACCGACCTCAGACGAGTGTGCGAACATTCCAGAGCTCGATGAAGGGACCTCCGGCCACTTTCCCCACATCTGAAGCCCCAACTACAAACTAGGTGCATTTTCTCAGAGACCAGGCCCTCGGGTCTTGTCCTTTGCTCTCTGCCTGGAATTCCCACCCCTCTTTCCGGCCATCCTGGCAAACACCTCTTGGCTTTTAAATCCTCACTCCTTTACCCAGCTAAGTCTTCTTAGGCCCCGGTGTCCACCCTGCGTCCAGACTCAGTGGGCCCCTCCCTCCTCTAGGCTTCTAATCGCTTAGGCCAGATCCCAGGACAACGTCCACTGTGTTCTGTGCATCTTCCCGCAGCACGGGGCTCCCCCGGGGAGAGCTCTCCAGCACCTGGTGCATGCACACAGGGCCCTAAGAGCCGGGGCCTGGTGTCTCTGGACCCCTCCGACCACCAGCTCGGACGATGTCCCCTGCTCTCCAACTTTGGCCTCAAAGTGTGCCAGGCACACCGGAGTCACATGGTAAACATCCCCTCGGTGGGCGCGGTTACCCACAAGAACAAGTCACCGCCACAACCAAGGAGGAGGGGTGCCCTGTTTACGTGGCCGGGACTTGGCTGGGCTGGTTTTGCGAGTCTGTAGCCTGTGAGGGCAGTCCTTCGACAAGCTGTCAGCCGGTGTCGAAGCACGCGGTCCCGAGCGGGAGCTGCTTTTTACACTGAAAATGAAAAACCAATCACAATGAACCTGATTCTCAAATTAAGGGAACCCAAAGCTAAATACTTGGGTTTTTAAAACATTAATGCTTTGGACTTTCAGCTTTCTTTTTTTTGTTTATAAAAATTTATAAAATAAATTAAAATTTATTTTATTATTATTATACCTTAAAGATTTCATTTATTTGACAGAGAGACAGCGAGCAGGAACACAAGCAGGGGGAGAGAGAGAGGCAGGCCTCCCGCCAAGCAAGGAGCCCGATGCGGGGCTCGATCCCAGGACCCCGGGATCATGACCTGAGCCGAAGGCAGACGCTTAACAGATTGAGCCACCCAGGCGCCCCTTTAGTTTAAAAATTTAAACGAAGGTTCGTTTCTAACAACGAGCAAAATTATTTCCTGGGTAAAAGAAAGATACTTTGAGAGCTTCATTAAATGATTGGGGCCACACTACTATTATGGGATCTCATTCTAAAATCAAGGCCCAGAAAAACCTCTATTTAAAAAGAATATTCTCTTGGGGCGCCTGGGTGGCTCAGTGAAGCTTTCAACTCTGATTTGGGCTCAGGTCATGATCCCAGGGTCGTGAGATCAAGCCCCACCGCAGGCTCCGCCCTCACCATGGAGTCGACTTGAGATTCTCCCTCTCCCCTCCACTCATTCTCTCTCTCTCTCTCAAGTAAATAAATAAATAAAAATGTTTTCTTGTTGAGGGGCGCCTGGCTGGCTCAGTCGGTGGAGCATGCGACTCTTCATCTTGGGGTCCTGAGTTGGAGCCCCACGTCGGGGGTAGAGATTACTTAAAAAACAAAACAAAACAAACAAAAAAAACTTAAAAAAAATGAAATACAAAGAATAGTTTCTTGCTGAAAGTGGCAAAAGCAGTCACCAGAGAAAAGCAGAAAATGCGAAGATGAGATTCTAGCAGCTCCTCGAAATGAGACCTGCGAGGGCTACTTTTGCCTCCCAGTGTTGCAGAGCCCGCGGCTCCGGGGAACGGAGGGCTTGGCTTGTGCCCCTGCTGCCGACTCCCCCATCTGCTGTGTCAGGACGGCCTGGCCAGGGTTGCTGGTGGGCATCGTACAATTATTTGGTCATCCACTAGCCGGAAAAGAATTTGAGTATTTTACCCTAGCAGTTTATTCCTCTATAAAAACTTACGTGGACAGTGAGAAATCGGATGAGCCCCGCAGACCTACCATCTGTATGGGCACACTTAGGATTTAGAAGAAAAGTGCAATTTGTAATCATCAGTCTCATAAAACGGCTACGGACGGTGCTTTATTTTTAATAAGGAACGCTGCTGTCTAGGGCCGGAATGCCTGGCTGCCCCTCCTCTGGGGGACGGGCTCAGGACACAAGACGCCTACGAGGTATTTCACGTTCCTCACATCTGCATGGGCCAAAACACTAGTGCTACTGAATTTAATTTCAGTATTTCAGCCGGTTCGTCAGACGCTTTTTGGTAGGAACCAAAGAAACGGGGAGAAACTAATTTTAATAGGTGATGACTACGAGCTACATCGAATACTCCTACAACAGGCCTCTAGTACCTGGTACTGTGCTGGACACGGAGCACGTTCTCAATACTCATTAAATTAAGACAATTCTCCTCTAGCGTGCTGTAAAATGTCACTAACAGGTAAGCACGGATTCAGAAACAAATCCGTAAGTGCTACGAATTCCCATAGATCCCCATTATGGAGCAATAACATGTGTGTGCTGGTTCCATTCCTGGGTGGTGGAGCCAGTCTGTTAATGGTTCTGGAGTCCCTGGGAATTTTTAGAAAATTTCGAGCAAGTCCACAGGTTGACAGGGAGCGCCCGGGCACAGGGGCATCTGGACTTGAGCTCCTCTCCTTAGTTACGGCTGCTGCCGAGCAGCATAGCAAGCCTGCCCCTCAGCTTGGCCCTGGCGCTCGGTGAATACAGGGGACTTGCGTGAACTCATCGCCAAGGACACAGTTACTGATTTTCTGTTTTTCGTAGCCACACAGCTCCAGCCAGAGGCAGGCTCACAGCCCCCCACCTGTGACGCTCACAATAACCCTGGGAGCAAAGTGTCACTGTCCCCACGAGACCTCAGGGACTCACGTTGCAAAACCCAAAAGCTGCTTCTCCGGGCACTCCTGGCTCTTGTTAAGACTCAAGATTAAAAATAAAAACAAAAACAAACCAGGGCAAGAATATCCTGCACAGCAACCAAAAAAATCCTCCATCCACCGCAAAACCTCCACGCACAGTTTAACTCCGCACACAAACCTCATCAGACCTGACCCCCCGATTTCTAAACTAACAACAGAGATCATGACGGATGGGCGGAACTTACATGGAGATTAAACGACTGCCATCTTATCAGTCATGCTACTCAATTCTAAGTGGAACCTCTTTAATGACTTCCTGGACCCAAAAAGGACCGGTTCAGCGTTTCTGAAGCCAGAACATCATCATCTCGGTTGGAAGCATGGCTGAGGGGGAAGCTTCCCCCTGAATTATGACAAGAAGGAAGGGAAGAGTTCAGTGGACATCAGAGATGAAGGGACACCCCCAAGAGCCTGTGACAGACTCGAAGCCCTCCCGCAGCGCCGGCCCGCTTCTCCTCGGTGAGTCCGTCCAAGTGAACTGGGCTCCCGCGTTCAAGGGCCGCTTCTACGGAAGACTGGAAAAGGAGCGGGGTTGGGCAGGAGGGGCGTCCTCTAGCAATAGCTGAAACTTGCTCCGTGTACTTCTCACGCTTTCCCTGGTGGAGCCCGGCCTTCCAGAGCGGTCAGCGGCCACCTGGCACTCACGGTGGTTCAGAAGGACGCGGCAGGTGCAGAGCTGGGTCACGGCCAAGGACACACAGCCGCCCTGTGGCACAGACATGGCCCCTGTCGTCCCCCGCCCTGGTAGTCCAAACACACTGCCTACAATTTTGAGGTCACAACCCCTCTTCGCTGGCTCATGGCTGGCTTAGCTCAGGTCTGGACTTTCAAAACAGATTTGGAAGAAAACAGACCTTTCGTTTATAGCAGAAACTTGTACGACCTCCCTATCCCGCCTCTGGGAATTCTGCTCTTTCCTCTTGTGCACTTGTCCTTCGATGCTCCTGGAAACTTGTCTTTCCTCCCGCCTCTCACCTTTCTCCTCAGAGCCTGCATGTTCTCCCTGCTCCTTCCCTAACCCTCTGGGGGGCTCAGAAGCACAGGGTCACGTGAGCTCCGTGTCCTCGCATTCAGAGGGAATGCGCGCTACATTATCAGCGCATCAAAGACAACGGATCACAACCTGGACACCTAGAAACCCCTTCATTCGGTTGTCTTCCGAGAATTCTCTGAAAATACTAAAGCTCCATGTCTCCGGTTAACGCCGGCTACCCCTCCCTGGGGTTGGAATCCATAAACACACACTGGGGAGGAAGACATTTTGCTGTAGGAAGACTACACCTGACTTCCAAGACCAGATTTAGCCATGGTGGATGGAAGACCTTCTAAGGAGAAGGAGAGATGGAGCCCGGACACTTGGTTCAGCAAGTCACCCGGTCAGGACACCTCCAGCCAGGTGAGGTCCGTGAGGTCAAGGAGCTGGCTGCCTGCCCGATGACGTCATCCAGGAGTGGCTCGGATGCGCCCCGGGCGCAGAAACGCACCTGCTCCACGCGCCGTGAAGAAAGAGCACCTGCGCTGCGGGAGAGGGGAGGGCCACCGTGGGGGTGGTGGACAGGGCTGCCGCATCGGAGAACTGGCTGTGGGACGCCCACCCTCGGGTCCCCCTCGCAACAGCTTCTTTACGGTGCGCCAACTTCGTGCCAGGTGCTGGGGAGAGGGCAGCCCACACCAGCACTGTCCCTGCTCCCCAAGAGCTCCGTCTGGAACGCTCTTAAGAGAGCAGACGTCCAAGAGCTACAGGGCATTAGCTTAAAGAGGGCACTCCATTTTGGGAGAAAGTCCAGAAGAGCCAGCGCTAACCTTTTAACAAAGCACAGATCTCTGGCAGCCCCTTCGCTTACAACTCCCTCCGACTTCTCTGTCCCTCTCCCCATGTTCTCGACCTGGCAGGACTCCCCTGGGCCACGGGGGACGGCGTCAGAAGTTCCTCCTGTGGCTTCTTCCGGGCAGCGTGCATTCCAGCCCACGGGACCCCCTTCGGCATAATCCCGCCCGCATCCCAGCGCCCAGCGCTCCTGACGTGCTTCCTCCCCAGGACGGGGACTAGAACCGAGGGCAGTGACTCGCGTGGAGATGGGCACGCTCCTCTAACTTATTCGTAAGAAACTCTTGGGATGGATTTAGGTCTCAGCATTATTGTGTTCCAAAAATCAGAAAGGAAATTTTGTAAAATGCATCTGACTCTATCTCGGAACGTCACGCCCTGACAATTTCACTACATGATTATGAAATTGGCTGATATTCTTTTTTAGGTCGGGCTTTTGGGGGGGCCTCTAGCCATGCGTAGGCCGTATTTAAAAACATGGCTAAGGCTTCAGACCACAAGGCTCAGTCGTGTGGAGCTCAATTTCGGGTTCAGGGTACAAATCGACCAACACTGTGCTCAACTTGCACCATCCGAGCCTTGCGGATCGTCTCAGATCTCGAGTTCCAAAGAACAAGCCACGTAGCTCGATGTGCACCTAAGTTCCAAACAAAAGGTATAATGATGAGACCAACACGTGAGAGAAACGTGGAATTGTCTGTTCTCCCAACGTGCATGACTTAAAGAAAGAAACCATCCCTCTCTGGAATTCCATGGCACCGAAAACGTAAAGGTGACCCAGAGACAAAGGAGACCTTCTTTCGCACCTCCGTTCCCAGCATTCCCTTCGAGGCCTGTATATCAAAACGGCACTATTGGAAAAGGCAGTGACATACCTTTTAATATGCAGTGCTGTAAGTGCTATGAATAAAATAAGAAGCAATGTGTATGCGGTAGCGATTGAATTGTTTATGCACTCAAACAGTTGCCTTGAAGGATAATAAAAGTGAGCATGAAATGAAAGGTTCATGCAGGTCTATGAGCAAAACAAAAACAGAAACCCAGGAACCAGCCCCCCTACCCACCCCCCCCAGCCTACCCTGCCCTCCCAGCCACCCTGCAGCCCCCCCCCGCCCCGCCCCCGTGAGTTCTTCCTGTGGGCTTAACACCCTTCTGTTTGGAAGACCTACAGGCTTTATACATTCACCTGGTGGCTCATGAAGACCAGAAACACTGTCATAGAAAGAAGCTCTCTGAATATTCTGAATCTCTAAAGCAGAGAGACAGCAAAAACAGGAGGACAGAAGAGCAAATACACAAACACTTCAGTTAGTGTGAGAGACATTCGACATCACAAGGCAACTTTGAAATCAGGCTGCGACCATAGCTAGTCCGGTGCAGAGCCCATGTGACATTACTGTGCGGAGAATTCTGCCCATTCGGACACAGTTCTTTATAAAATAAACTTAGGCTACATCAAAAGAGCCCCTCCCCGCTTGGATGCAAGTGTGAGCATCGAATCGTATCAATGCTACGTGATTACCCCCCTGAAAGCGCAGGAGGAAATTTAAGGGTACTAAGGAGCTACTGGAGTTGTCCTTCATAAAATCATCCTGCAGTTAGCACATCAGGACGAGACTGCGTAAGTCCGGGCACTCTGCTGTGTACGTTAGTGGCTTTTACTGTCCAAAATTCACACTGCTGTCTACTTTGGCGTCCAGTGCAGACTTTGGCAACGTAATTGACTTCAAATAGAAATTAGTAACAGATAGGTAACTATTCTTAAGGAAAATAAAACTCAAGTTTTGCAGCAAAATGTTAATACAACTTTAAATCATAAGGTGACACTTGTTGATCATTCCGTTACCCATGAATATACCTGAGGAGGCACATTTACATGAAAATGCAATTGTTAGCTCCC